CTCACCGGGTACCAGGACATGAAGGGGCAGAGTTGAAAGCTACATCATTAAATGAGTGTTGCCACAGCATGTGGTAGATTGGAGAAACAGTGTGAAAGTGTGATGATTTATTTTTCTGCTGTCTCTATATAAACTAATAATAGAAAAGCAACAGGTTGAGGCAACAAAAAATTTGAAGAAAAAAGAACAGATGAAGTTTGGGTCAACCTGCCATGTCAAGAGCCATGAGAGGCAGAGGTACTTGTAAAAGCTTTCATGAAACAGAGGAGGAAGGGCCTGAACAGCTTTATTTAGAAGATCACCAACAACTCATATGCATGTAAGCACCCTGGAATTTGCCCCATCTTGAAAATCCCTCAACCTCGGCAGCCTAACCTTATAAATGCCAACCCTTATCCTCCACCAAATCCTTCTCAGCCAATCAAGCTGGGTCTATCATCCAGTCTTAAAGCTAAACCAATACTTTCATTGTTTGAAAGAGGTTTAAAAAAAAAAAAAAAGAAAAAAGAAAAGAAAAAAAGAGCATATGGTTTTTCCAATATCTGATTAAACCCCATCTCTACTAAAAATATTTAAAAATGAGCCAGGTGTGGTGGTGTACACCTGTAGTCCCAGCTACTCAGCAGGATGAGGCAGGAGAATTGCTTGAACTCAGGTGGTGGAGGTTTCAGTGAGCCAAGATCATGCCACTGCACTCCAGCCTGGGTAACATAGTGAGAATTGGTCACAAAAGGAAAGAAAGAGGAAGGAAGGAAGGAAGAAAAGAAGGAAAGGAGGGAGAGAGGGGGGAAGAAAAAAGGAAGGAAGGAGAGAGAAAGAAAGAGAGAGAGAAAAGAAAGAAAAGAAAAGAAAAGAAGAAAAGACACTGAGAATTTGGTTTCCCAATGCCATCTGCTCCCAGGTAAACACCAAGAGACCATAAAATATTAGAAAACAGTAAATCCTTTGTATATTTTGGATGTCCCCTCCAAATCTCATGTTGAAGTGTAATCCCTATTGTTGCAGTAGAACCTGGTGAGAGGTGTCCCTGGTGAACCTGGTGGCGTGTCCCTCGTGAATAGCTCAGTGCCATCTCCTCTGGATGAGTGAATTCACAGGAGATCTGGCTGTTAAAAAGTGTGTGGCACCTGCCTTGTTGCTGTTCTTACCATGTGATATACCTGCTTTCACTTCACCTACTACCATAAATAAAATCTCTCTGACGCCTCCCAGAAGCCCAGCAGATGCCAGCACCATACTTGTACAGCCTGCAAAACGGTGAGCCAATTTCTTTTTTTTTTTTTTTTTTGAGAAGGAGTTTCACTCATGTTACCCAGGCTGGAGTGCAATGGCGTGATCTCGGCTCACCGCAACCTCCGCCTCCTGGGTTCAGGCAATTCTCCTGCCTCAGCCTCCTGAGTAGCTGGGATTACAGGCACGCGCCACCATGCCCAGCTAATTTTTTGTATTTTTAGTAGAGACGGGGTTTCACCATGTTGACCAGGATGGTCTCGATCTCTTGACCTCGTGATCCACCCGCCTCGGCCTCCCACAGTGCTGGGATTACAGGCTTGAGCCGCCGCGCCCGGCCCCAATTTCTTTTCTTTACAAATTACACTGTCTCGGGTAGTTCTTTATAGCAATGCAAGAATGGCTTAATACAGACCTCTTTCGCTATTGTGTGAAGATGAGGTTTGTACAATAGATAGAATTGAATGGCTTCTATGATTTTTCTTTCAAAATATATTATTTTTATCAAACATGTTATCTTTATCAAATATCATTGAATTAACTTTTTCTGAACATTTAAAAATCATAATTTAATTTACTTTGACAACGTTATTAAACAGATGGTGAAAAGTTACAGCCTAGTCAAAACTCATTCTCTTACGTTAAAATAATTCAGGTACTGTTAGACGTTTTAACAATATATAAAAATTATTTTTGTTTGACTCATGTTTGTTGTTACTTATATTTAAGTGGTCTATCACTGTCATTTAAAACCTTGTCACAAGTACAATACCAGGTCCACAGGTACAACAATAGCTTCGTTGGTAATTTTTTGTTTGTGTTTTTGAGACAGAGCCCTGCTCTCTTCCTAGGTTGGATTGCAATGGTGCAATCTTGGATTACTGCAGCTTCTGCTCATTGGATTCAAGTGATTCTCCCACCTTGGCCTCCTGAGTAGCTGGGATTTCAGTTGCACTCCACCATGCCTGGCTAATGTTTGTATTTCCAGTAGAGATGGGTTTCATCATGTTGGCAAGGCTATTCTTGAACTCCTGACCTCAAGCAATCCATCCACCTCGGCCTCCCAAAGTGCTAAAATTACAGGCCTGAGCTATTGCACCCAGCCGATAATTTCTGTCAAATATTTACAGTACAAATAGAAATGATCCTCTCAGAAAATACAATGGGAAGCAACAATTCTCAACACTTTTATGAGGCCAGGTCTATCCTGACATTATAAGCAGATAAAGACTTTATGAGAAAAGAAATTAAAACCAATATCCAAAATTCTTCACTATCCAAAACATTGATAGAAAAATATTTACAATTCCATCTAACATTACAGAAAAAAATGGCCAAACTCAGAACTTGAAGTTGCTTTAGCATTTAAAAATTAATGTAACTTACCCTTAAGGAGAATAAATTTTAACATTTAATAATTTTGATAAAAAGTCATTTGAAAACATTCATCCACTCAACCTCTGTGCACTAAAAAAAAAAAAAAACTCCAGAAATTAGGAACACAGGGGAATTTCCTCAACCCAATAAAATACATCTATGAATATCCTGCAGTTAACATCATACTAAATGGTTAGAGACTGGATTGATTTCCCCTGAATCGGATACATGCTCCTGTACGCAACAGATCTTAATATTCCAGAGTTTCTTTTTGCTCTAGAGATGAAAAAAGCATCAGTGTTAGAGAGTAGGAGTGGAGTGTGGCATAATATATTCAAAATCTCTCCTTCCCTAACCGTATCTTCTCATGTTCCTGACTCTCGTTTCAAGCTGGGAATCCAGACGCTGCATTATATCTACTTCGAGAACTACAGCTCCCATGATGGACACCAGGTGACTTGCAACATCTTCTCTGTGAACACTAAAACGCGTTAAGGGTGAGCTTAGAGCACTGCACACAGCTGTGGAATGCTCCTGTAACCCGTGACCGGAGCTTCAGGATCACCATGTGTGAGTACTCCACACCCATAACAACCTAGAAGTGCGTTTAAAGACCCATGAGAGTGAAAATTGCTTGCATGAAGATTCTCACCTCCACTTGTTATAAATGAGAGCTATGGAAGCTCAACCCAGTGGCCAGTAGCTGAAAAGAACACCCTAAGGCTGGTGGGAGGCGTGTCCACCCTAGCATGAAAGCCTCCCCTGTCCTCACTAAGGGCTTATTGCACAGGTCACAGCAGACTTTCTGGGTTAGGAGTGGGGAAGAGAAACACTGATACTGGGTCTCCCATTTCCTGTCTTGGTGATGTTTCTCTTTTCTGGGTTTCCAGAGCCACTTCACAGGCCGTGGTGACTACGTTTAAAATAACGACACCCTTGAAATGCAAACCCAAAATATAGCGTACATTTTATTTCAGCTACACATATGGACTGGTTTTATTTAAATGTCTATATTAGCTCTCACTATTCCATTGTTTAAATAGAACATTTAAAATTTCATTGTACTGCTACTGCCTGGTGATACATTCACCAGTGTAAATATCAACATAACCGTCTTGCTGTTTTTCTCCATCCCCATAAAATTCCCCAAACAAATATTTGTTAAGATTCCAGGGAGTATCCTGCTAGAACTCATGTAGTTATAGACATAATCTGTTTCATTTTTCATTTTGATCAACACAGTTATCTTTTTCCTTAAACTTATTGCTGTTAATTTGTTATATTCTAAATGTCATAACAGATCAAAGATTAATATTTCCTTTTTTATTATTATAAGTTCTGAGATATATATGCAGAACGTGCAGGTTTGTTACATAGGCATACGTGTGCTATGGTGGTTTGCTACATATAAAAATGGATATTTTCTATCATCTTTAGGCCACCCCCAAAACACTCACTACTGAATTTGAAACATAATTTTTCCCTAGAAATTCTAGTTGGGGTGCTTGATACTAAGAGCTATTGCATAGCAGGTTAACCCAAGGACAGACTCCTTTTGCACATAAGCGAAATACTCTGAAGACATTTGCCAGGATTCCCTGCAGACTGGCATTCAGTGTTTGGAAGACAGACTCCTAGGCAAGATCCCTGGTCGCAGTATCCAGAAGACTCTGACTTTGAATCTAGGGAAGTCGAGAGAAAATAAAGATTTACCAGAAAGACCCTCTGGGAATGCCTCCCCAGGGCATGCTAGACAAAAGAGCTCCCTTTCTTTTCAGAGCTGCAGGATCCGCAGAGGAAGGAGAGCTCTGGCCACCAGGAAGGAGCCACATGAAAGAAAAGATGCAGTGTCAAACAAAGGTGGGGAAGTGAGTCCATAGGGCCAGTCTCCGCTCTAGCTTGATCCTGACATAAGAGGACTTTGTGTTGACACCACCTGAGTCCTCTACAATGAACAGCCAAAAAGCCATGGACAGATTTACTCCTGAGGAGTCCAGTAGTGTGAAAACTGCCCTGAGGTTACAGGGAGGAGACACAGGACCACCAGGACTGGTCTGGACCTGAGAGAGTGGGCAGTGGAAAGAATGGGGGGAGTCAGCCAAGTCTCTGAGAAGCCGTGGTCATATTGTCACACAATGGTTTGTCTTGGTCTGGACACAAGGGGGCGCCAGGGGACAATTCCTGAGAAGACAGGGTAATCACAGCAGAACCAGCCACCTGTCCTGCCTGGTGTCCTCTGCACAAGGCTCACAGCTGTGTCCTCCCCACCCCCTGGGGCCACAGGGCCCCACCCTTGCCACCCCCTGACATCCTCAAGCCAAGGAGACAGACCCAGGGCCCAGGATGGAGTCAGAAATCTGGGGGCGGGGGGAGGGGGCGGGGGGACGCCTGATTTGCATGGATGGATTCTCCTGCTCTCAGAGTATGAAGAGGGGGAGAGATGTGGGGGAAGCTCAGCTGCAGCTGTGGGTACAGAAGGCAGGACTCAGGACAGTCTTCAGCATGGCCTGGTCCCCTCTCCTCCTCACTCTCCTCACTCACTGTGCAGGTGACATGATATGGGGCCTGGGTGGGGGGGCTGGGAAGCCCGTGGGACCCTGCTTTCTCCTTTTGTCTCTTGTCAGTCACCATATTTGTGTTTCTCTCACTTCCAGGGTCCTGGGCCCAGTCTGTGCTGACTCAACCGCCCTCAGTGTCTGGGAACCCTGGGCAGAGGGTCACCATCTCCTGTTCTGGAAGCAGCTCCAACATCGGAAGTAATTATGTAAACTGGTACCAGCAGGTCCCAGGAAAGGCCCCCAAACTCCTCATCTATGGTAACAGCAATCGGCCCTCAGGGGTCCCTGACCGATTCTCTGGCTCCAAGTCCGGCACCTCAGCCTCCCTGACTATCACTGGACTCCAGCCTGAGGATGAGGCTGATTATTACTGCGAAACATGGGATGACAGCCTGAGTGCTCTCACAGTGCTCCAGGCCTAGGGGGAAGTGAGACAAGAACCCCCTTCCTCCTCTGACCAGAGGGTGAGCCCCTGGAAGCTGCTGCTCAGGCCTGGCCTGTAGCTTCTGCTGCTGCAGCTTCTCCCATGGATCTAGGGGCATCCAGGGCCCTGCTTGGGAGTGAAGGCTCCTCCTCCCCTTCAATCCTCAGTCAGAAACAGGGCATCCAGGAAACAAAACATCCTGCTCCCTGTGGCTCAGAACACAGGGTCTCTGTACTGAAGTTTTGGGCTGAGGTGGCAGGTCCAGCTGTGTCATCACAGACTCACCTCTGATGGGAAACCTGTGTCTCCATCATCCCCCCTTTTCCCATTTCCAGGAGTTTCCAGAGTGGTGTCTTCCTCCCCCTGCTCCTCAGTGTGAATCCCTGTGCTTTTCTCCCCAGCCCATTTTTAAAAAAAATAAAACTCCTTGTATGTAGGAATAATGCACATCTAATAAACCACCTATATTTATAACTAAGAAATTATATAAATTATGGGATTTTTCTGGATCCTTGAAAACATCACCGCCACCATGGAGCTACGCAACCTGTGACCAACCCCAGCAGCTCCTCATGATCCTTTGCCATCTCCCTCCCTCCCGCAATGCTCTCCCAGGAAGCCACAGGTCTCCCTCTGTCACTCCTGTTTGGTTTCCATTTTCTGGAAGGTATCAGTGTTATCAAACATTATCTTCCCATTTGTTCAGGCTTCTTTCACTCTGCACACTTCTAAGATTCACCCTATTGTTGCTGACTTGCACCCATTCCATAGAGGGCTCATTACTACCTTTGAGAGTCCTTAAGTTGTTTATTCCTGACTTTATTTATTTATTGTAAAGTTTGAATTTATTGTCCATCAAAATGAAACTCTAGGAGTGGCGTTCATCTAAGGTGACAAGAGAGTCTGTGATGGTTTGTCCGGATTCTTGGTTTTTCATCTCTTGCCTCTGGTTCTCTCTATAGTGGAAGAATTTATCGTCTTCTATTTATTTATTTATATTACTTATTTACTTATTTATTTATTTGGGTTTTTAAGGCTTTTAGTAGTTTTTTCTGTTTAATTATTTAAAATTTTTTTTTTCATTTTAACAGGTTTTTGGGGAACAGGTTGATGTTTGGTTACATAAGTAAGTTATTTAGTGGCGGTTTCTAAAATTTTGGTGCACTCATCACCCAAGCAGTGTACACTGTACCCAGTGAGTAGTCTTTTATCCCTCACCCCCTCCTACCCTTTCCTCCAAGTGTCAAAAGTCCATTGTATTGTTATGCCTCTGTGTTCTCATAGCTTATCTCCCACTTGAGATGACTGAGAATATACCATGTTTTGTTTTCCATTCCTGAATAACTTCACTTAGAATAAAAGTCTCCATTTCCATCCAGGTTGCTATGAATGACATTATTTTGTTCCTTTTTATGGCTGGGTGGTATTCCATAGTATACACACTCATACACACACACACACACACACACACACACACACACACACACATTTGCTTTATCACTTGTTGATTTATGGGCATTTGGGCTGGTTCCATGTTTTTGTAATTGCAAATTGTGCTGCTATAAACGTGCATGTACAAGTATTTCTTTGTTTAATAACTTCTTTTTCTCTGGGCACTTAACTAGTTGTGAGATTGATGGATGAAAGAGCACATCTGTTTTTAGGTCCTTAAGGAATTTCCACACTGTTTTCCATAGTGGTTGTACTAGTTTACATTTCCACCAGTATAGAAGTGTTTTGTTTGAAGGAGATGGAGACGTGGAAATCCCTTCAAAAACTCAATGAAAGCAGGAGGTGGATTTTTGAAAAGATTAACAAAATAGATGGACCACTACCTAGACTAATAAAATAGAAAAGAGAGAAGAATCAAATAGACACAATAAAAAAATAAAGGGGATATCACCACTGATTCCACAGAAATACAAATTACCATCAGCTAATACTACAGATACCACTATGCAAATAAACTAGAAAATCTAGAAGAAGTGGATAAATTCCTGGACACATACACCTTCCCAAGACTAAACCAGAAAGAAGTTGAATCCCTGAATAGACCAATAACAAGTTCTGGGCCGGGCACGGTGGCTCACGCCTGTAATCCCAGCACTTTGGGAGGCCGAGGCGGGTGGATCACGAGGTCAAGAGATCTGAGACCATCCTGATCAACGTGGTGAAACCCCGTCTCCACTAAAACTACAAAAAATTAGCTGGGCATGGTGGCGCGTGCCTGTAATCCCAGCTACTCAGGAGGCTGAGGCTGGAGAATTGCCTGAACCCAGGAGGCGGAGGTTGCGGTGAGTCGAGATCGCGCCATTGCACTCCAGCCTGGGTAACAAGAGCGAAACTCCGTCTCAAAAAAAAAAAAAGAAAAGAAAAAGAAAAACAAGTTCTGGCATTGAAGTGGTAATTAATAGCCTACCAACCATAATAAAAAATGCCCAGGACTAGACAGATGCACATCCGAATTCTACCAGAGGCACAAAGAGAAGCTGACACCATTCCTTCTGAAACGATTCCAAACAATAGAAAAAGAAGTCTCTTTCTAACTCATTTTATGAGGCCAGCATTATCCTGATATCAAAATCCGGCAGAGACACAACAAAAAAGAAAATATCAGGCAATATCCTGGATGAACAGCAATGCGAAAATCCTCAATAAAACACTGGCAAATCAAATCCAGAAGCACATTAAAAAGCTTATCCATCACGATCAAGTCAGCTTAATCACTGGGATGCAAGGCTGGTTCAACATATACAAATCAATAAACCTAATTTATCACATAAACAGAACCAAAGGCAAAAACCACATGATTATCTCAATAGATGATGAAAAGGCCTTTGATAAAATTCAACATCTCTTTATGCTAAAAACTCTCAATAAACTAGGGGTTGATGGAACATATCTCAAAATAATAAAAGCTATTTATGACAAACCCATAGCCAATATCATACTGACTGGGCAAAAGCTTAAAGCATTCCCTTTGGAAACCAGCACAAGGTAATAATGCCCTCTCTCACTATTCCTATTCAACTTAGTATTGGAAGTTCTGGCCAGGGCAATCAGGCAAGAGAACGAAATAAAGGTATTTGAATGAGAAGAGAGGAAGTCAAATTATCTCCATTTGCAGACAACATGACTGTATATTTAGAAAACCCCCTTGTCTCAGCCCAAAGACTCCTTAAGCTGATAAGCTACTTCAGCAAAGTCTCAGGATACAAAATCAATTTGCAAAAATCACAAGCATTCCTAAACCAGAAATAGACAAGCGGAGAGCCAAAACATGAATGAACTCCCATTCCCAAGTGCTACAAAGAAAATAAAATACTTTGCGATAAAACTTACAGGGGATGTGAAGGACCCCTTCAAGGAGAACTACAAACTAATGCTCAGGAAAGTAAGAGAGGACACACACAAATGGAAAAACATTCCATTCTCATGGATGGGAAGAATCAATATCATGAAAATGGCCATATTGCCTATTGCCTAAAGTAATTTATAAATTCAATGTTATTCTCATCAAGATACCACTGACTTTCTTTGCAGAATTAGAAAAAAAAAAAAAACTAGTCTAAATTTTATATGGAACCAAAAAATAGCCCAATCCAGAGCAAAAAGAACAGAGCTGGAGGCATCATGCTACCTGACTTCAAACTACACTACCGGGCTACAGTAATCAAAACAGCATTACGCTGGTACCAAAACAGATGTATAGACCAATGGAACAGAGCAGAGTCTTCAGATATAACACCATACAACTACAACCATCTGATCTTTGACAATCCTGACAAAAACAAGCAATGGAGAAAGGATTCTCTATTTAATAAATGGTGCTGGGAAAACTGGCTAGCCATAGGCAGAAAACAGAAACTGGACCGCTTCCTCACACCTTATACAAAAATTAACTCAAGATGGATTCAAGAATTAACTGTAAAACCCAAAACTATAAAAAATCCAGAAGAAAACTTAGGCAACACAATTCAGTACATAGGCATGGGCAAATACTTCATGACTAAAAGACCAAAAGTGATTGCAACAAAAGTTCAAATTGACAAATGGGATCTAATCAAACTAAAGAGCTTCTGCACAGTAAATGAAACTGTCATCAGAATGAACAGGCAACCTACAGAATGGGAGAAAATTTTTGCAAGCTGCCCCTGTGACAAAGGTGTAATATCCAGAATTTACGAGGAACTTAAACAAATTTACAAGAAATAAACAACCCCACCAAAACAATGGGCAAAGGATATGAACAGACACTTCACAAAAGAAGACATTTATGTGGCCAACAAATATATGAAAAACAGTTCATCATCACTCATCATTAGAGAAATTCAAACCAAAACCACAATGAGACACCATATCATGCCAGTTAGAATGGCAATTATTAAAAAATCAGAAAACAACAGATGCTGGAGAGGTTGTGGAGAAATAGGAGCACTTTACACTGTTGATGGGAATGTAAATTAGTCAACTATTGTGGAAGACAGTGTGGCGATTTCTCAAGGATCTAAAACCAGAAATACCATTTGAGCCCAGCAATCCCATTACTGGGTATATATCCAAACGATTATAAATCATTCTACTATAAAAACACATGCACATGTATGTTTATTGCACCACTATTTACAATAGCAAAGACTTGGAACCAACCCAAATGCCCATAAATAATAGACTGGATATAGAAAATATGACACATATACACCACGGAATATTATGCAGCCATAAAAATACTAAGTTCATGTTTTTTGCAGGGACATGGCTGAAGCTGGAAGCCGTCATTCTCAGCAAAGCAACACTAGAACAGAAAACCGAACACTGCATGTTCTCACTCATTCATGGGAGTTGAACAATGAGAACACATGGACGCAGGGAGAATAACATCACACTGGGGGCCTGTCGGGGGGTGGAGGGCAAGGAGAGGGAGAGCATTAGGACAAATACCTAATGCATACAGGGCTTAAAACCTAGATGACAGGTTGATATGTGCAGCAAATCATCATGGCACACGTATACCTCTGTAACAAACCTGCACCTTTTGCACACATATATCCCAGAACTTAAAGTAACATAAAAAATTAAAAATTAAAAAGTCCTAACAAAAAAAAAAAAAAGAACTGTTAGAACTATTAAATAAATCTGATAAAGTTTCAGATAAAAAATCAACACAAAAAGCCACCTAATGACTAGGCATGAAGGCTCAGGCCTGAATTCCCAGCACTTTGCGAAGCTCAGGTGAAAGGATTGGTTAAAATCAAGAGTTCAAGATCAGCATGGGCAATAAACTGAGACCCCGTCTATCCAGAAAAAGGGTGGGGGGGTGTCTTATATTTGTATACTTAAACAACCAAACAGGAAACAACCAGACAGGACATAACCCAAAATGAAATTAAGAAAACAATTCAATTTACAACAGCAGCATCAGAAATAATATTCTTTCCCCTTCTTAAGAATCAAGAAGGGGAAAGACTTCTACA